AGGAGCTTCACGAATTGAGGGCGGGTCGTTTTCAAAATGTGGCTCTCGCTTCAGCGCCGCGCGCATTCGTTTTCAAACAGTTGCACGAGTTTCACGGATTGAGTGCGGCTCTTTTTCAAAACGTGGCTCTCGCCCTAGCGCCGCGCACATTCGTTTTCAAAATTTGCGAAAACTTCACGGATTGAGGGCGAGTCGTTTTCAAAATGTGGCTCTCGCCTGAGCGCCGCGCACATTCGTTTTCAACATTTGCAAGAGTTTCGCGGATTCCCATGCTCGACGTGCCAGAAATGGTGTTTTGGAAGGATTCGGGATTATGCTAGCGCAATAGTTATGTTGGTTCGCGGTGTTGAAATCCCAAAATGGCGCTCTGGCACGATTCCGGATCGTCAAGACGCAACAGTCAGGTTGATACGTGGCGTCGGCATCCCGAGAACAACGTCTTGGCATGTTTCAAGATATTCAAACGGTTGTCTTCCAAAGGGGCAGTTCCCTCAATGGAAATGAACCGCTGTGGGGGCCTATGAAGAGGGAGCTTGGAGGGAGGGTTAATTCCAACATCGTTGATGACTCTTGGTTTTACACTGGGCCTCCTCCTTCTCCTATTCCTCCTGTTGCTCCTCCTCCTCCTCGTCCTCCTCCTGCTCCTGTTCCTGCTCCTGCTCCTGTTCCTGCTCCTGCTCCTGCTCCTGCTCCTGTTCCTGCTCCTGCTCCTGCTCCTCCTCGTCCTCGTCCTCGTCCTCCTCCTGCTCCTCCTCCTCTTCCTCCTCATCGTCGTCCTCGTCCCCGTCCCCGTACTCGTCCTCGTCCTCGTCCTCGTCCTCGTCCTCCTCCTCCTCCTCCTCCTTCTCCTTCCCCTTTTCCCCTTCCCCCTCCTGTTCCTCCTCCTTCTCGTCCTCGTGTTCGTCGTCCGCTTCCTCCTCCTCCTCCTCCTCTTCCTCCTCTTCCTCCTCCTTCACATCGTCCTCCTCCTGCTCCTGATCCTCCTCCTATTCCTCCTCCTCCTCCGCCGCCTTCTCCTCTTCCTCCTCGTCCTCCTTCTCCTCCTCCTCCTTCCCCTCCTCCTCCTTTTCCTCCGCCTCCTCTCTTCTTCCTCCTCTTCTCGCCTCCTCCTCCTCCCCGTCCTCCTCCTCCCCGTCTCCTCCTCCTCTCCTCCTCGTCCTCCCCTTCCCCCTCCTCCTCCTCCTCCTGACCCTCCTCCTCCTCCTCCTCCACCTTCTCCTTCTCCGCCTCCTCCTGCGCAAGAAGTTGCGCGCCAGAGATCCTCCGATGAGCAACCGTATGGAAAACAGAAGTTTTCGAGTGCAAGAGCGCGACCTCACGCACGCGCAGCAATTCGTCTCTGTCGACATGCATTTACTCATCCTTGTGCAGCCGAATCCAAAGCTTGACGCACCGAGCCGCTCTGAGATTTGCAAGGCTTCGACAAAGAGATGGTGCGATCAGAGCAGAGAGCACTACATGAAGACCACCCGACAAGAGAGACTTCCCTTTTCAGTTCGAAGCGACATCCCAATATTCCGAAATCCACGAGAGAGCGGGACCGCGCGCTCGGGCAGAGAGGCTGGGCGGCCCTGCGCGAGAACAAGGCGAGGTTTGGGGGAGGCGGCCTCTTCTGGCATGGCGCGGATGGAACGCGTCGTCGCCTTCCCCAACTTTGGGGGTCCATCTGCGCCAAGCCTTGGGGATCTTGGTTCGACTGGCCATGGCGATTGGTTCGATGGCCCCGGGGATTGTGGACGCCACGGCGGAACGCCCGGCGAAGCGGTCGGCAAACGCGTCGCCTGCGTTCCGGCGCTTGGCGGCGCGACCGAAGCGGAAGTCGCGGGGCCGGCTTTTATCTTCACCGCGCGGCCCGGTAACTCCCCGCCCCCGCCCTCGATCAGACGCCGCGCCTCGCGCCAGAGACGCGCGCGCGAGGGTGCGGGGTCACAGTGCTCATCCTTGCCTCTCTTATGCGAACCTCTCCATGCATAGCCGCTGCCAGCGTGGAAACGGCCCCTCGGCGTAGCGTGCTGAAGAGCAAAGCGCAAGGCCGCGCGCTCAGCTTCTTTGGCGGTGGGGAGGCGCTCGATCGGACGCCCGCGAGGAATGCGGCGCGTCTCGCGAGCTGGCGGGTAGAGAGCAACAGCAGCCCATCCCGCGGAAGAAAGCTGACGGCCAATCCCCTTCGAAGGGGGGCGCCCGTCGAGACATGGGCGACCCCGAGACTGCAGACAGGTCGGGGCGGGGGGGGGTTCGGCCTCGGGCAGGGGCGCGAGAGAAAGCTCGGCCAAAGCAGAGAGGCAGGGGGGAGCTCGCGGCAGCGGTGCGGAGCCCCTGAACGAAAGGCGGCGGTTCCTCTCCCACCTGCAGGGTGCGCTTGCACTCGGTGTGTCTGCGGAATGCGGCGCCAGACACTTCGACCCCTCGCGCGCATTCGCACGTGCGTCAAAATGGTTTAACGTCGCAACCGCAGCCTCACTTCCGATGCGTAGGCCGCTGGCCCCCAACAGAACAAGAGCGCGCATGGGGCGGCTGCTCGCGGGGGGGGGGGCTTTCGATTTCAAAAACTTGGCAGCGCATTGAAAACAAATTCTCGCGAAAACTCGGGCGGGGGGGGTCAATGCTCAGCTATTTGCTTGCATCGCCAGAGATGGCACGCATGCGCGACCATTCCTTCGGCGCCAGACGCGCGAATCTGAGAAGGGGTCAAATGAGATACCCCCGAGGAAAACCCATTGCGGCATGGAACTTACCTGGGCATCAGCGCGTTTTATTGAAATCGCATAAACCTCAGGGGAGGGGCCCAGAATGGGCGACCGAGGCGACGCAGTCCCTTGCAAGCGACAGGCGGAAGCAAGGACGCCCGCTTCGACGGTTCTCGACGGGGGCCACTCTTCCCAAAACACGCGGTTAGAAATAAACAAAAAAAACTGGGGCGGCCGCGTGGCCCTGAGCGTCGGATCGAGGCGCATGGCAGAATCGCGGGAGCATGCGTCCTCGACCTCCCGCCAGGATGATGATCTTGCAGCTTGCCAGGAATTGAACGAAGTGGATGGAGCCCCCCATCGTGGATACCAGGGGCTGAAGCGCCACAAGTGACAACGCGCTCCAACGCAGCTCCATAGATCGTGCCAAGCGTCTCGCGCCTAGGCCTGCCACTCTTAAGCGATGCCATCCGAGCGCGACCCAAAGTGACTGCAGGCGACCGCTGCTTGACCGCCGCCACGCACGCGACTGGCAACAACATCAACGCCAGGGTCCCTCTCAGTGCTCGCAACCTTTACCCCCAGGACATGCAGCTACTTCGCCGAGGCCTTGCGCACGACAGTAGTGTTGGAGAGGGCTCGACTCTTGTCCACTGCGATCTTCGCCCCGATCGTGGACCGCAGTTTGAGCAGCAACTTGGCCGCGCCAGATAATTTACGAACGACCCGAGAAGGGGTGCCATGACGCTGAAGCCCAATGCCATCAGCGGTGCTCCTGAGCATGCTTCACCTGTGTGAGACCTGCGCTTGGCGGCTCGGGCCAAGAGCGGAAACTGCAGCATAACAGTGGCGGCGTGACAGCCTGGCACGGTTGTCTGCTTGACAGCGATGATGCCACTGACATCGCCTTGCATGTTCAACGCGCGAGGCGCGCGATGCACGGAAATCGAGAGCCTGGACTCCCATAGCGGAAACTCACACCAGATTGGCCTGAATCACATGATAGTGCTTGACACAGTCAAGAAGCTTTCTTGAGATCGGGCAGTGTGGTTGCCGTGGACACGCCCCTGACCATGGAGTGCCCTGGCCAGGCACTAGGGGCCCAGGCGCACTTCTCAGAAGGACGACCTTCGCCAGACCACCAAAAGCTGTGGAAACTCTGCCAGACACCCACCAGTGGCCATCGGAGCCTGCATCGGGTCCCACATAGCACGTGAAATAACCCAAGAAGCCGTGCACCGCCCCGGCGTTTCAGGATGAAAGCGGCGCGGGTCCAGGATGACGGCCACTCTAGTTCACGCTCGATAGATAGCCCCAATACGATCACACAGTGTAGATAGAGTGCTTCGTCAGGTCGTAGAAGGAAACGCCTTGGAGCAACCTTGTCGCACCCTGTCCCCGAAGAGGCCCTCATGGTCTTGAGCACGACCTCCAACAGGTCCATAAAAGAGGAAGACGAGGTTCCCCGAGAGACACAGGCCAAACGGGTTCAGGATCCCCAGCAGAAACCTGCCACCAGCCTTCCCACTCACGCTGCAGCGCCTGCGTCTCCTCTCTGGAGGCTGCAGGCTGCAGGGCGATGGGTACTGCGTTCCATGCAAGAGGGCTGCCAAGCCGTTGGCAGCGCAGAGTACGAAAACAAGGCAGATGCACCTGTGAGAAACCTGTTTTCGAGGGGTGGAAGGCGGGGTCGGAGGAACACGATGTCAGGAATCAGCGGTTTTCGGTTTTGCCGCGAAGAAAAACGGCACGCTCGTTTGTTGCTGCCGAAAGCCAACGAACACGACTGACCACGACGTAGCAGGCATGAAGCTCCACGCCTGAAATCTAGCAAACAGACCGCATTTGTTGAAACCGACGAGAAATCAAATCTCGCCAGCGCACGACACGCGAGTGAAAAATTGCAGCTGGCGAACAAACTTATGAGCGAACGCAGCCGCCGACGGCGATCGCACATGAACTTCTTCGTGCTTCTGCACCACGCAGGAAAAAACCGCATCCTAACAACACCTGGGACACTGAGAAACTCAATGTCCCGATATCCAAATCCCTAGAAAATCTGAGCGAGAAGGCGCCGCGAGGTGCAATCGACCGAAATTGAGGCACACTCAAAACGACACCATTTCCCGCACGCGGGCCGCAACTCGAGCCCGCAACTGGCCCAAGTTGCGGGCGGGTCGCAGCATGGACATGTTCACCGCCCTCCGCCCGCCGCCCATCCCCCCACGAAAAAATGTACTACACCCAGTAACCCCTACCTCTGTACCACCCGTGTTTGTCCCTCATGTTCTCCGCCCCCGCGCCCGCCGCCGCCACGGCTCGATCGCGGCCGCGGGCTGCGCCGTGGCGCGCGGCGTGCCGACGACGAGGGCACCTGGAGGCGGGCCGCCCCTTCCCCGACGATGAAGACGATGATGATGACGATGGTGCCGATGATCCCTTGCATGAAAAAACGACGGTGGAAGCGGTGATGGTGACGATGGTGACGTCGATGGGAATGAGGATGGTGATGGGGACGGTGATGAAAGCGATGCGGAACAGTGGCGATGACGATGGTGATGGAACGAACATTGCGCTGACGACTACGAAAATAAATAAGACGGCGGCCATATGCGACGCATTTCGTCACCGCACAGCGTGGAAGTAGCATGGGCATCAATTGGGCAGTCTTGGGGGCGCGGTCGGGCCTTTGTGGTGCAATCCCGAGGGACAATTTGGAGGCCCCAGACCAATGCGAGGAACGCAACATGTTTTTGACTTGCTTTCGGCAGCAACCAAAACGTACAAACAAAACAAACTGGGGGGATAAGGCATGACGGGTCGAGTCGAGTGGAAGCAAAGGAGACGGGACGTGGATAGGGGAGGCGGGGCCGCCGCCGGCCGCCGCCGCAAGTTGGCAAGCGGGTGGGATGCCGCCGCCGCCTTTTGCTGCGTGCAGCGCGGCCCAGCGGCCCGAGGCCCGCGACCCTCGGTGCGAGTCGCACGGTGCCGATCCGCGTCCGCGTCCCGCGGCGGCCGCGGAGGGCGTCGGGGGCTGGTGGCTGGGGACCGACCCCCCAAGGACCCCGAGGGACGACTCTCGATCTGATCGTGATGCACGATCAGATCAGGAGGCACCCTCGCCCACCACCGATCGCGATCCACGATCATCGGCCCTAGTCCGCGAGCATCGGCCACGATCCGCGACCGTCGGTCACGACCCTCGATTATCGAACGATCGGCCGAGGACCGAGGACCCGCTATCACCGCACCGAGACCACGATCGCCGATTCACCCTCGATCCTCGACCATCGGCCCGCAAACCTCGATCCAGCAGCCAGCAGCCCCCCTCGCCCCTCGCCCTCGCTGGAGCAACGCTGCGCGGCGACTCAGGGCGCCGAATCGACGACCTGGCTCCATCGTCGCTCTCCCCTCCTCTCGGCTCTCGGCCCTCACTTTTCGCCCCCCCTCCCTTTCGCCCCTCTCCACCGTCCCGCCCACGCAACTCCCCATTCCCATCCGCCCCCACTCCAGGGGGCGGGGGGGGCAGCCTTGCGCCGACGACGCGGCCTTCTCGTGGCGCGCCCCCCCCCCGACCTCTCGACTTGACCGACCTCGTGGTCGCCGTCGTCTTCGTCGTCGTCACCGTCGTCGACGTCGTGGTCGTCGTCGTCGTCGTCACCGCCGCCGCGGCCGTCGTTGTCGTCGTCGACGTCGCCGTCGTCGTCGTCGTCGCCGCCGCCGTCGTCTCGTCGTCGCCGTCGTCCCGTCGCAGGGTGGATGCCCCCCATCGCCCGCCCGCCCTCGAGGCGGTGCAATGCTGGTCATCCTGCCGATCGTGACCCGCAGGCCTCACCCACTTAGCCTGCTGATACTGCCGTGCCGCCGCCGATGCCGCAGATCCCCACCGCCGTGCCGCCGCGGCCGCCGACGGCCGATCACCACCGCCGTGCCGTCGTCAATGCCGACGCCGACGCCGACGGCAACGACGACGACGGCGGCGGCGGGGAGAGGTCGGCGAGAAGGCCGAAGGCTGCAAACCAAACACCAAAGGGAGGATGTGGATGATGCAAGAGGGCGGAAGCAGCGGCGGCGGCGGCGGCGCAGCCGCGGGCTGCGGGCAGATCTGGTGACGTCCACTGCCGCACAGGTAAGGACGGGAATGAAGTTGTCGCTCATGCGAGTCCTGCCCACCGCGCCGCACGCCGCGCCGCCCTTGCCCCTGCCCGCGTCTCGACGGTGCCTCCGCCTCTCCCGCATCCCGCCCAGGACCCGAAGCTTCGAAGCGCCTCGATGGTCAGGGCGTGGAGTGCGATTGGGCGGGGAGGAGCGAGAGGATAAGGATGGGGAGGTGGCGAAGTGGCGAAGGGGGGAGGAACGTTGGCGAGGAACAGGGCGACGCTGGCAGTGATCAGTGATGCCCCAAGCCCTTGAAGCTTGAAGTCCTCAGCGGGGCGGCCCCTGGGCAATGCCCAAGTCCCGTTCGAGCCCTTGGCGAGGCACGAGGCAGGAGGCCTGTCGAATCCTGGGCGATGAACGAAGCCCTTCGAGTCCAGGGCGAAGCCTGACGAGGTCCGAGGCCCTCCGAGCCTTCGAGTCCTGGGCGAAGCCCGAGTCCCTTCGAGTCCTGGGCAGGGTCCGAGGCCAGCCGAGTCCTAGGCGATGCAAAAAGCCATTCGAGCCCTGGGCGGGGACTTGTCCGAAGCCCCATGGACGAGGTCGGAGCCCTCCTATCCTCAATATCGTCACTATCGCAAGCACTGGCCATCGTCATTGTCATACTCCTCTTCTTCATCATCCTCATCATCATCACCATCGCCATAACGTTTCATCGCTCCAGCATTTCCTACACTCCTCCCACCCTCGCCATCTAGCGCAGCGCGCAGCGGCCGCGTCACGATGGCCCGCGAGCAAGGATGACATGATGACACCATGACGATTGAGTATAACTACTGGCAACTGCGTCGGGAACGTCGCATCGGCGGGCGCTGAGCTGAGCGCCACCAAGCCGCAGACTGCGTGCGTGAAAATCAACGCGCCACGTGCTCACTCTCACGCGGCACCGACGGCCTCGAACAGCCGCGCGCAGCTGCTACGCTTCGGGCGGGCCCGCGGCGGGACCCTCGTTCTCGGAGGCGGTAGTGTCATCACCCATCTCGGGGTCCGAGTCGTCCAAGTCGACATGGCCGCCGCCGTCGACGGCGACGCCGACGCCGCTGCCCTGGACCACGGAGGGGGCTGCGGCCAGCCTCGTGGTCACGTCCAGCTGCTTGATCTTGACAGACTCTGCTGCCTTGGCAACCGTGTAGATGCCGCTGTTGCCCATCATGTCCTGCAGGCTGTAGATGAACTTATCGAGTTTCTTCTGCTCGGCGCGGCGGTCCTTGAGCTCGTGCTGGAGGTAGAAAATGGCATTGAGCAGCACGTGCTTCGGGGTGGTGAGGTTGTACTGCTTGTTCACGAAGATCGGCATGCGGTTGGGGTTGCGGAGCTCGAACGGCGCCGAGGACGGAACGGGGGGGTTCCGCGTGACCTTCGTAGTCAGAACATCATCCTTGGGCACGATGTGGGTGATGGCACGTGCCACGCGTGGACTGTCAATCACCATCTTCTTCGGGCGCCCCTTCGGCACAGGACGCGACGCCGAGGGCTTGATCACTGGCATTGGGACCATCGCGAGCCGTCGTCACAGACAGGCACTCAGAAGAGTTAGCGCCAGGATACAAGCGCCGGTGCTTGGGCCACATGGCGACGGCACGAGAAGGATGATAACGGCCCGACGGCCCCACCATTCAAATAGTGGCCCCGTTGTTGGGCGCCTCGTGCCTCGTGCTGGCTACTCGGGGACCACGATCAATGGTTGCCCTGGGCCCTGAATGAATGCAAGCGCTGGCTGGGGAGCATTTGCCATGCGCAGGCCCAAGCTCTAAGGTTCATCGATCATCGGGGTCGCTGACGCCCCGCTGCCGCTCATGCTGCTCCTCGTCGTCGGCGTCGGCATCGCATCCTCATCTCTCTCTCTCTCTCTCTCTCTCTCTATCTCTCTCTCTCTCTCTCCCTCTCTCCATCCCTCTCCTTCCCTCTCCTCCCTGTCTTACTTTCTCTCCCCCATTCTCCTCGTCAACCTCCTCCTCATCCGTCCCCCCTCGGCCCCTCCCCCTCCGCGGTGGACCCTCGCCACCACCAGCTCAACGAGTCCTCCTCCCCATCACGCGTTCCTCGTTCCTCCTCGTGCACCGCGTCGCCCCCGCCACTGCCCCCCAACACGCACCCCTCCTACGCCGTCCACCACCCCCATCCGACTCCATCCCATCCGCCCGCGCTCTCGCTCCGCCCCGCATCAGGTGGGCCGATGACTGCGCTGCTGACGGCTGGTCGCCCTACCCCGCAGCTCGGCGCAGAGGCGCTCTGCCCTCCTCCGCGACCGCATCCCCACATCCAACCAAGTTTCCGATTGTCTGGAAGGCGACGGGCGACGGGAGGGATGACGGCGACGATATACAGAGGGAAGGGTGCAGACGACGAGTATTGGGCATCGGGGATTGGGGCGACGGTGGGGGCCGCGGGCCGTGGCATCGCGGCCAGGAGGGGAGAATGAAAATGAGGCAGATGATGAAGTGGTTGAGCGCGTTGAAGGGCGGTGAGCATGGCGGTGGGGAAGACGAGGGGGGTTGCCAAGCCTTGTTCAGGAGATCACGCTTGCGACCGTCGCTCCCATGACTCGTTTGCAATGTGACCCCGTCGCAGTGAGCTCTGCCACGCGGCCAGCGACCAGTCGCTACCCCATGGAGTATTTGTCTGCCGCGCAGCTGGCCCCAAGTGGCGACTGGAGAGCAGCCCGAGCAGTCGAGCCAAGCGCACGCTGAGCTGCGTGGCGCAGCCCCCCCCCCCTCGGGACTGCAGCGGCGCGCGCAGACCGCCCTGCGCTCACAGAGCATTGATGCATCAGCAGAAGACGGGCAGCCCTTCCATCTAGCCCTCGGCCTTCCCCCCTCCCCCCCCCCCCACGGGCGCCGAGCGGTCAGAGCACCCAAAGTGGCGCAGCGCGGCTCCAAGAGGGCCTCTAAAAGCCAAGCCTAAGATGACCCCCACACCCCCACGATGACCCAATGTGTCCAACATGGCTTAGTACGGCTTTCAACGTCCAACAAGCCCCAAAGAAGCCCCAGCCCCGCCCCAAGGCGGCCACAAGTGACCACGGAACCCCACGAGGTCACAGCCTTACATCGGTTTGGTTTGTCTTATCGCATTGTGAATTTCGATGCCTCGCCGAGGCCCAGTCCCCGAGAGGGCCCAAGGCCACGAGCGCCCCAAGCGTTGCTCAAAGGGGCCACCAATGCGGGCATGAGAGCGCCCAGTAGCGCCCAAGAGCGCTGGGCCCCCGTTCGGGGCGATCGAGGGGCGGCCCAAATTGAGCACCCCACTTCGTCGCCGAACTCACCCAAGATAGGCCCGATAGGGCCCAGAGGCTCCGAATGTGACCCCAAGAAAAAAGATACACCGAGATGCACAAAACCTTCAAACGCCAAAAGGAAACATGTTATCCCCTCATTGCCTCTTCAATGTCCCTCCCGTCAAGCTGGACCCAAAAAATGGGCAATGGAGCTCGAACGAGCAAACCGCGTGATAGGGGAGCCGCTAACTCGCCCACTCGGCCGCTTGAAACTCAAACATCAGGCTGGCTGGTCGGCTAGCGTTGCAAGCATCGTGTTCCAATCTTCCAACACCGTCCCCTTCATCTTAGAGAATGCCTCCATCGTCGCGACCGTAACCCTGCGTGAGCGGCTGGCCTCCCCTGCCCAGCTGGGGAAGCACCCCCACCGCATCCCAATGGTGGGCATCAGGTGGAATATCATGTACACGAACCCCGTCGGCAGCCAGGCGACGTCGCCCTGCTTGATGATGAGCGCAAAGTTGGGGGCCTGGGCCAGACGCATGGGGGAGCAAGGGCAGAGCCGACGACGCAGATAGACGACGGCGGCGGTTGCGACGTTGCGGCGCCGACTCGGACGACGGCGACGACGGCGACGCGGCGACGACCGACGACGACGCCCTCGACGACAATGGCGATAATATCGGCCAGTCCAGCGAAGACCATAGAGACGACGGTGGACGCGACGAAGATGGGCATGATGGTGAGGACGACGAGAAGGGCGAGGAGGAGGACGAGGAGGACGACGAGCCCAAGACGAGACGAGGAGGGGGGGGGCAGGATGGGGAGAAGGAGGAGGGGCAGGAGAAGCGGAGGAGGAGGGAGGATAACGAAGAGGAGAGGGGAGGAAACATACGCCGAGGATGGAGGGGGGGAGCGTGGATCTACGAATAGCGGGGGGGGGTGACGCGATGAAGAAAAGTGAGGGGGGGGGGGGCAGCGGGCCTCGCGGATCAAGTTGAGCAGGTCCCCCGAACTCATGCTCTGGAGCTTGGAGATCTGCGCGTCGAGCGGCTCCCCGACCATCTGCTGCGCCACCACGAGCTCCTTGCCCTCGAAGACGGCCCGCACCTCGCCAATCCCGAAAGGGGGCGGCAACACCTGCGTGTGCTTCCGCGGGGCGAAGAAAGCCTGCATGCCGAACATCGCCTTGGTCAGCTTCGCGAGCTGGGGCGACTTCGCCAGGAACGCCGTGCGGAACAGCATGCTGTCGGCGCGGACAGCAAGCAGCGATGATTTCGCGGAGGCGACGATCTCAGGCTGGGTCACCGCGCCAAAGCAAATGTTCTCCTCGGCCTTGACCTTCTCCTTGAGCCACGAGTCGAGAGCGTTCCAGCCGTTAGCCTTCTGTACGCCCTCCATGAGCTGCGGCACCTGCATCACCGAGGCTTTACCAGGGCCCTGGACGGCCTCGAAGGTGGTCTCGATGTTGACGCCGCCGTTGAGCTCCTCAACGGAGAGGCCGACGAACACGAGCTTGTTGGCCATGTCCGCGCTGCAATTGGTGTCCTTCGCGTCCTTGGCTTTATCTGTGAGCTTCTTCTTCTTAAGTGTAGAGCCAGCGGCCGCATCCACCTTCTTCTGGGCCGCGGTCTTGCATTCCGCGATTGCCTTCCTGAAGTCGGACCAGTGGGTGCCATCCGCCCTGGTCTTCTCGCTCGCATCCTTGAGGGCGGCCTTGATGGGCTCCAGGTTGAAGTTCCACGAGGCGTCGTCGCTCATATGGGCAATCTTCATCAGCACGGCATCTACATTTGTCACGATATTCGGCGTCTCTTTCTCGAAGACCACCAGCCTGGCGACAAGTCCCGCGATCGGCTCCTCCTTC